GCCCATTTTGGCACATCCCTCACGCGGACCGTGCCCCATGGGGAGCTCCAACCTACGGCCTCGGTGGGCCAGTTTGCATGCGCTCCCTCGCCCGCTTCGGCGCACTCCTCACGCGGACTATGCATCATGTGGAGCCCCAACTGCTCTCCCGCCGCGCGCAGTCTACGCGGGAAAAGCCCCCCCCTGCGCCACACGCAGCTGCGGGCTGGGCCCTTCGCCAGGCCATCTGCATCATCCCCGCAGCTCCCCGACCCCTTCCTGGGGGCCGCCTCTTCATCCCGCGCCGCGCGGTGATGGCCCCCGGGGGCCGAGAGACGGCCTCCTAGGGGGCCCAGGGTTTGGAACGAAAGGCCGTCGTGATAGGCCCAGGCCCTCCACCAGATGCCCCCCCCCCCCGCCCAACCCGGATTGGCCAACAATTCGGGCGCTCCAGGAGCCGCCAAGAGGCGCAAGAGCCCGAAAGGGTTTCGATCCTCGAACCCTCGGTCCTCGCAATTCCTCTCCCGCCTCCCGAGCGTGCTGTTTGGAGGATCCGCCGCCAGAGTAAATCCATATCCGCCGCCCTGGAGTCATGCCCATGGATCCCGATGAACTCTCGAGGTGTGCTGGATAATTATGGGTATTCCCTGTTCGCCTCCAAGGCAGGAACGTATGCACATCCACCGTTCCCCAGGGATCCAGGACAAGACTCGGGTGAGATTTAAGTGCTGTAAGGTGCCAAGTCCGATCGATCGCCCTGGGATGACTCGTCCCGCTTGCGTGAACGACGATGCACAAACATATGCATCGAATCATTGAGAAGGTTTCTCACACCGTCACGCTGCGATCTGACGTCGCGAAAACCATGCAACACGGGCAACAGCCCGAGTCTCCAGGCCTTTCACGTGGGATCCCAGCAGATGGGGTCGGAGGATCGCGCGGCATCACCGATGCATTTGGGATACGGCACGATGTGAAGCCCGATCTGCTCTACGCCGGCATCGCCGACGCATCGGCGAGTCGGCGCACCCGCCCGGCCCCATCTACTCAGACCAGATGTGGACGGCCTCCATAATCAAGGGCTCCCACGAGGGCTCGAAGTTATTCGCGCTTCGCGCTTCGCGGTCCTCGTTCTTTCTCCCCCCTCCTCCTCGTCCTCCTTTTCTCCCTTTGGGGGGGCGGCGCGAGGGGGCGAAGTTATTCGCGCTTCGCGCTTCGCGGAGCGCGAAGCGCGAAGTTGGGAGCCCTAGATAATAACCAGACCCGGTCTTCCCTCTTCTCCTCGTCGCCGTCCTCCTGCCGTCCCTCCTCCTCCCCCGCCGTGTGCAACGCAGCCCGAGCGTGCATCTTTTCAGCTCGACATTGCCATTCCGGTCCGTGCTCGCAGGGTGGCAGAACGCTCGGACCTCGGACTCCAGCCGGGCCTGCCCCCACCTTTCCGCGGCACTTCTCCGGCTGCGTCGACCTGCCAAGGCCCCCGCACGGGCACGGGAAAGCCAGGGCCAGAGCACCCGGCGCAGGGGAGCACACTCTGCGCCACTCCCAGGTCTCGGCCGTACATGGCCAGTTGTGGGTGTGGATGCCCCTCTGGCCGTACCATGGGGGTCACGAGCGGCGAAGGTGTCTGTGTCCACGCCCTCGCGATCTGGATTTCGGGGCGCGATCCCGTGGTTTCGCGGTGGCAGGTCATACGTTCCGCGCGGGGCATCCGCAAACAAAAACGCCCCGCGTCCACGGGGTCGCGGCGCAGGGGGCCCAGCCCGCGCTGCCGTGGATGCGGACGTCACGCCTTCCGGCAACGAGGGGGGCAGGGGGAGCCGCCACGAAGAAAAGGAGGTCCCGAGGGCGACGGGCCCCGCATGTTTTTCGTCTCGGTTTCGGGCTCCCTGGGCCCGCGAGACCGTCAACGAATTAGTCCCGGTGAAGGACTCGCCCTGGGGGAAAAGGCCCCGGGGATCCAGGACCCAGTTCCCTGCAGGACCCCTCTCCTTCACGCCATGGGGGGGCTGGCGGGGAGGAGACAAGGCAAGCCTCTCCTCGGAGGGGGCGCCCCGCGAGGCCGCCGCCACGTTGACGTGCCTGGCCGCGCCGCGGGGGGGCGTCGTCGTCGCCGCGAGCGAGGATCCGAGGACTCGAGGGCTTTGAGGATCGGAGGCCTCTCGCGATGTTCGGCGTCTGGAGGCCCGTTTCTGGCCCGCGGCCGTCAGCAGCCAAGACGGACCCAAGGAGGGCTCTGGGACCGGGTTTGAGCGGGGATCGAGGCTCTGTGCAAGTTCTTGGGCGTTTGGGATTGCTTTTGGGGTGCCCTGGAGCGGCTTCGTCGCCACGGCTGGTCCCCCCTCGAAATTCTGGCCAGAGCGCACCCCAGGAGGGGTCGCCGTCGTCCTCGTCCCCCGCGCTCCTCATGAGGGATGGGGCAGGAGAATGCGGAAATGAAGTGCCCTCCTCCTCTTCCTCCTCCTCCTCCTACACTGCACCTTCTCCTGCCCTGTCTGTATTGTTTGTTGGCTCTCTCTCTCTTGCTTGTTGTTGAGTTGTTGTTTATTATCTCTCTCTCGCTCTCTTTCTGTTTCTCTCTCCTTCTCTATATATGTATGTAGGTATACATGTATGTATGCCCCCCCCCCCACACACAGCAGCCCAAAACCACCTAAACAACAAAACCTTCACTGATCGTTTGCTCATCGTCGTCCTCCTTCTCCCTCTCCTCCTTTTGCTCCTCCTCCTCCTCCTCGTCGTCCGCCTCCCCTTCATCTTCCTTATCCTCCTCCTCCATTCCTTCTCCTTATAGATAGCTCCTCCCTGTCGCACCCCGAGGTCAGTTTTTGGGGCGGTCTGGGCGTTTCGCCTGATACTTCACCGTTTATGATTCTGCAGTTTAAGAAGTAACGACAGCTTCACAGACGTAGGGCGGGCCGCTTGCAAAATGTGGCTCTCGCCCTTGCGCCGCGCACATTCGTCGTAAACATTTAACACGCGGGTCGTTTTCAACATTTGGTTCTCGCCTTAGCGCCGCGCACATTCGTCTTGAATATGTGCAAGAGGTTCACGGATGGAGGGCGGGTCGTTTACAAAATGTGATTCTCGTTTTCGCGCCGCGCACATTCGTCGTGCAAATTGGCAAGAGTTTCACGGATTGAGGGCGGGCCGTTTTCAAAATGTGATTCTCGTCCCAGCGCCGCGCACATTCGTTTTTCATTAGAAAATGTAATTTGCAAGAGTTTCACGGGTTTCCATGACCAGCGCACCAGAAATTGTGTTTTGGAAGGAGTCATGATTATGCGGGAGCAACAGTTATGTTGATTCGCTGTGTTGAAGTCCCAAAAACGGCGTTTTGGCACGACTCCTGGATTGTCAAGACGCAGCAATCAGGTGTGCGTGGCGTTGAAATCCCGAGAACAATGTTTTGGCACGCTTTATGATCTTCAAGCTGTTGTCCTCCAACGAGGCAGTTCCCTCAATGGAAATGAACCGTTGCAGCCGTTGCAGGGGCCTATGAACATCGTTGATGACTCTTGGGTTTCCACTGGTCCTCCTCCTCCTCCTCTTCCTCCTCCTCCTCCTCCTCCTCCTCCTCCTCCTCCTCCTCCTCCTCCTCCCTTTCTGACCCCAGTATAACAGGTCTCCCCCTCCTCCACTTTGTTTGTAACAACGCCAAACCAAAAACAGACAGCGGTTGGCGCCATCGGTGCAAGGAAACGCTGTGTATGTTTGGCTGTTTTGTTTTTGTGTTTTGCTGGGTAATCACCCCCGCTTCTGCCCTGGGGATGGTGCAGCCACCCGACCTTGACACTGACCGCTTTGCACCCTTGCCCCTGGGATGGTCCCAGCCCCTGCGTTGCCCCCCGCCGCCGCCGGCCCCCTGGTGCAACAGCCGCGCGGACCCGCCGGCGGGGCGGGCCGCGCCACGCGCCCGGGGCGTGACCCGTCCCCCTGAGCGGCCTCGCTCCCCTCACGCCACCTCTTTCGGCCGCTCCCTCTGTTGTTTCCCTTCCTCTTGCATGTGGCACAATTCGCTACAACGGTATCCCCGTTTAGGTCGCCCTTCGCCAGCGCAGTTACTCTGCCTAGCCGCCGGCATAAACATTGTTCTGGCTTTGGGAATCAAGGAAACACTGCGCGTTCATTTCCCCAATCAGAGCTTGCCTCTGTAGGGCCCTAGCGGATTCATATGGTTAGGTGAGGTGTGTCACCGATCTCCGCGGCCCGCCCGGGCGCCCAGGTGCCAGGGTGCCTTATAGCCAATATAGCCGTATAGCTCAGAAGCTCTATAGCCTTATAGCCCTATAGCCCCACAGTCCTATAGCCCCATAGCCCCATCGCCCTATAGCCCTATAGCCCTATTTCCCCATGGCCCCATCGCCCGGTAACCCAATAGCCTCATAGCCCTGTAGCCCCAGAAAGACTTTGATTGGGGGTCTTTCTCTGGTGTCATGTTTGATATGTTTGTTGCTGGTTTTGCAGGCCGCAATGTTTGCCGCGGCCTCCCTCCCAGCGCCCTGCTCTGCGCCTCCCAGACCCAGTGTCTGGCGCCCTCGGTGCAAGGAAACGCTGTGTATGTTTGTTGGTTTGTTTTTCGTTTCTGAAGCAAGGAAACACTTCGTATGTATGTTTTTGTTTTCCCCCTTTTCTGGGGGGGAGGGGCAATGCTCGCCGCGGCCTCCCTCCCAGCACCCCTCCCTCAGCCTCCCACGCCTGAAACAAACGCCAACCAATACTCACGGTTCCTTGTTTCCCGCACCAGGAAACAAAACAAGCCAACTACACAGCGTTTCCTTGCACCGAGGGCGCCAATCGCTGTCTGTTTTCTTTTTTGCTTAAGGCTGGGCCTCTAACGCCACCGAGCCCAATAACAGTTTGGAGCTAGGTGGACCCAGCATTAAGGCCATCCTTACCATGGACGCTGAGTTTGTCTTCCAATCCTCGCCAAGTAAGAACTGGAAAAGGCCGGCTTGAAGAAGCCTTATTTTTCACTCGCTCTTCGCCTCGGGGGCCCTCTTGGGGAATTTGTTTGGGCCCTGATGTTGGGCGTCCTGGCGGCCGTTATTACCAACGAGTCCATTGCGCGAAACGTTCAAAACAACACCACTCATTTGCTCATAGATTCGTACATCTTGGCCCGGTGACCGTGCTCCAAGACGGCAGCAACAGGCCCCAAAGTGAGTCCAATAACGCTTCTAGGGGACAGGCTCCGGGCATCTATGAAGCGCGGGTCCCACACGTCGCTCCCTGAGCCTTTGGGAAAACCATGCGACGCATTCCAGGAGCGCCCAGACATTCCGTGAGTTTTGGGCTCGCATATCAAAGAGCCTTTTCCATTTTTTAGCACTGGAAGATTTAATGGGCCTCTGGCCAACAGCCTTTTGGGCCGTCCTCGGCCATCTTGTTTGATACACTTGCAGGGTCGGGGGGGGGCTCTCAGGAATGTTCTTTCCTCGTGTGGCCTGCAGGGGGCCGTCGGAATGGTTGCGTGGCTTCTTGGATGCCTCCTGACGTCGCAGTGTCCCCTTCGACTAGATCGCAGTCTCTTTCAGCTCCTTGTAGCCATATTGGGGGTTTGCGTGGCCGTCTTCGCCGTCTCAGGGCTTATCCCGAGGATCCTCCTGAACGCGTCGTGAGGGCCTCTTGTTTTGGAGGCGTCTTTGAGGGTTCTTCGGGCCCTCTGGTTGTCTCGGGAGCCTCGGACTCCTGGACTTCTCCTGGGGCATGCTGTGATGTGAAGTTCGAGGGGTATCCTGCCGTGGCGACGAGATGCGTTTCGGCGGCTTAGAATGTTCACAGGGAGGCTCGTCCCTGGAATTTCGACGCTCCCCCCCTCGGCATCCACACCTGCGCAAGATGATGTGTATTCGCTTCACTTCCCCGATGACGTCCTGAGAGTGGCGCGCCCCCTTCCGCATACCCCCTCCGCATACTTTTCCACACATGAATGGTCCGAGTTGGGTTTTCTTATTCCCCAAGCAGTGCTTGCCCTCAGAGCCTCAGGGATTCTCAGTGTTCTAAGGAACCAGGGGGGGGGGTCGGTCTGGCGGCTCCGTGCTCGCCGTCGCCACCCCGCCGGAGTGTAAAGTGCACAAAGTAGATTGCACCGCATCTCTGGCGCCACACGCATGGCACCGCATAGACTGCACCACGTAGACTGCACCACCTAGGATGCACAATATATATATATATATATATATATATATAAGACCACATCGATTGTACCACCTGGCCGTTGTTTGGGGGGGGTTGTCGGTCTAGCTGCTCTGTGCTCGCCGTCGCCGTCGCCGCCCCGTCGCCGCGTCGTCGCCATTGGCCATCCGTCGTCTGGGCTTGATTGCCGGTCTGGCGGCATGTTGTCGCCTTCGCCGCCCCGTCGCCGCCTCGTTGCTGCCCGTTGTCTTGGTCAGATTGTCGGTCTGGCGGCTATGTTGTCGCCGCCGCCTTCCCGTCGCTGTCTAATGTGTATAACGCAGATTGGATTGCACCGCATTGATTCTCCTTTCTAAAAACAGAATAGACTCTACCCCCCCCCGGAGTTCGCCGCCCCCCTTTCGGAGATGTAAATCATATACGATTATGACCACACGTCCATCTTAAATATGAGTTTACACTATCCACGGGGAGCCGGTATCGGTCCCCCTGAGGTTCCCTGGTTAAAAAATGATGCGCGGGGACATCTTCTGCTCTTGCATGAGAGCTGGTTCACGAATCTCTTTCAAATAATGGGAAGAAGTGCACACGCGCGCGTCGTCGCGCGCGCATGCCGAACTCCTTCAAAAACCTTCGGTGCCGGAAGGATTTCGCAATCGAGTTCCCCAAACAACATACAAAAACATAGGGTTTCGCAACACTGATTCGCTAAAAAAGCTTACGCGCGAGCTCTTGCGAAATCTTAAGAAAACAATCGTTTTTTGTTTCAAGATTTTCACAACATGCTACCAAACGGGCTTCGCGCGCGCATGTCGAAATCTGTCGAACGCCCTTGCGCGTGTGCCGTCGCGAGAATCCTTTGCAAAAAATGAAGCGAAGTGCAGGCGCGCGTCGTCGCGCGCGTATGCCGAAATCCTTCAAAACCCATCGGTCTCCGAAGGATTTCAAAATCGTGTGTCCAAAACTCCTACAAAAACGCAAGGTTTCGCAACACGGATGTTCCACAAAAGCGTGCGCGCGCGCTCTTGCGTCGTCGTCGTTGTCGTCGTCGCCGTCCTCCCTCCTCCCGCGTCGTCGTCGTCGTCGTCGTCGCCTACGTCGTCCTCTGTATTTCCTCGTGTTCGTCGTCGTCGCCCTCTTTGGCGTCGTGGTCGTTTCCGTCGTCGTTGTCGCCGTGGTCGCCCTTCCTCCTCCTCCCTCGTCGTCGTCGTCGTCGTCGTCCGTCGTCGGCGTCTCGTCGTCGTCCCTCCTGTTTCGTCGCCGTCGTCGTCGTCGTCGTCGTCGTCGTCCCTCCTCCCTCGTCGTTGTCGTCGTCGGCGTCGCCGTCCTTCCTCCTTCTTCGTCGTTCGCGTCGTCGCCGTCCTCCCTCCTCCTTCGTCATTGTCGTCGTTGTCGTCGTTGTCGCCTTCGTCGTCCTCCCTCCTCCCTCGTCGTCGTCTTCGTTGGCGACGTCGTCGTCGTTTGCGTCGTCGGCGTCGGCGTCGTCATCGTCGTCGTCGTTGTTATCGTCGTCGTCGTCGTTGTCGGCGTCGGCGTCGTCGTCATCGTCGGTGTCGTCGTCGTCGTCGTCGTCGTTGTCGGCGTCGTCGAAGTCGTTGGAGACGTCGTCGGTGTCGTCGTAATCGTTGTCGGCGGCGTCGTCGTCGTGGCTGTCGCTGTCGTCGTTGGCGTCGCTGTCGCTGCCAAGTGCCATTTGGTACCCACTGTCACGGTCTTAAGAGATTTCGCAAACCAAGTTGCGGGTGGGTGGGTGGGATGTTTGCAAGAGCGCGGGATGTGTCAGCCCGTTTGTTAAAATCAATTGCACCGCATCGACTGCACCACATAGATGCACCACATAGGTTCCTAAACATGGACTGAACCACATCTAGTGTACAACATGTATTGCGCCAGTAGATCGGGCCGCATCATATATTGCTCCACGTAGATTGCGCCACATAGGGTGCACCACGTTGCACTACCGTGGTCGCACCACAAAAGATGCACAGCATAGATTGCACAATACAGATTGCATCAATATGTCGCGCCGTATGTGCACCACATATATTGCCCCACTTATATTGCACCACGTAGACCGCACAACATAGCTTGTACCCCTTAGATTGCACCACGTCGGTTGCACTGCATGGATTGCGCACCACATAGATTGCACCACATCAATTGCACCACACATGTGCACCCCAAATACTGCACAACAAAGATTGCACAGCACAGAATGCACGGCTTAGATTACACCACACAGTTTCCACGGCATACACTGCTCAAACACACTGTTTGGGGGTCCACGCTGGCTGACATGTGTTGTTTCACTACGAACGTGTTCGGTCCTTCCGACATGGCGCTCCCGCTGCAGCGCGGGTCTCATTTTAGGATCGGGGCTTTGCTCCCGTCGTTGAGAATTGCGCTCTCGCCCCAGCGCTGACCCTTTTTCTGGATCCGAGTCCTTCCTCATCGTTGTCGTCGCCCTCCTTTCCCCTCCTCCCCTTTTCCCTGGTCCTGCTCCTCCTGCTCTTTCCACTCCAGTTCCTGCTCATGCTGTTCGTCCTCATCCTCCTCATCCTTCCGCATCCTCCTGCTCTTCCTCCTGCTCATCCTCCTGCTGTTCCTCCCAATCCTCCTGCTCATCCTCCTGCTCATCCGCCACCTCTTCCTCCACTGTACGCAGCTTCCCTTCTTCGATTGCGCATAACACAATTTTCTGGTGCTCCAGATCCGCCATGAAACGCGTCGGTGGATATAGGGAGGTCAGCGCGATGAGAATGGATGGATGGGAGCAGTAGGATGTCAGATATGGCACGAGTGCACGTTAGCTTGTACTCCTCTATATCACGTTTGCTCCTCCTCCTCCCCCTCCTCCTCTTCCTACGGTCGTCTCCCTGCACCCCGACGCCGGGAAGAGGGTAGGCGCCTTACCACCTCGTTTTCAGTTTTGTTTGTCTGGATCGCCGTGTGCGGCCCGCCTGAAGGCGATTCCTCCACGCTGTTGGTCGACACTCCCGCTACAGCCAAGAGATTCGTTCCGCAAGCAACACAATGATTCAAAGTAGGAGGGTAAACATGAGATGTTCGAATCTACGAACTGGACGCTTGCAACAAATCGTCAACCTGGTTACCGCCAGAGAGGTGCGTGTTGTGTCGACGTTGCGGCGACCCTTGCGCGAGCGTTCAGGGTTGACGCCAGTGGTCCACAGCCGGCCGACACCGGACGCTACGCGTTTTGGGCGAGTTGCGATCGTTTGCAAGATTGATAGATTGATCGACCCACGCAATGTCAGAAGCCAGCGCGCAGGTCGCCACGATGCTTACCCGCCGCACTGCCTAGGCGGATGGCTGGCCCTCCATGGATCGTTTCGATCCAGCCGATTCGATGCCGAGTGCACGCCGCTTGATTCGACTTCGATCTCCCGGCGATCCAATGCGGCCCGCTGCTAGCACAGCGCAGCTGTGCATCCGGGCGCAGCCGATCCGATCCGATCTCGGCCCCGTCGATGCGGCCCGATCCGACGCGCACTCCGACTCGGTCCGGCTCCTGCTGATCTCGATGCTGACGGATCCTGGATCCCGCCCCACCCTTGGCCGACAGGCCACGCACAGCCGCGAGAACCGCGCCGCCGTCGCGGCCGCGGGCGCCATCCCGCCGCTGGTGGCCTGCCTTCGCGGCGCGGGCGGCAGCAAGGCCGCCCTCCCCGCAGCCCTCCCGCCGCCCCTCCCGGCCGCGACTCCCGGCCGCCGCCGCAGCCACAGGCGCCTCCGCCTGCGCCGTTCGCTTTCGTCGCTCGTCGCTCGTCGCCGACGTTCGACGCCGGCTTTCGTCGTTCGTCGGCGTTCGTCGGGGTCGCCGTCGTCATCGTCGATGGAGCCATCGTTCGCCGTTCAGGGAAGTTCGCTGCTCGTCGTAGTTGGAGTCGTTGTCGTTGTCTTCGTCGGTCTGCACAGCGTCGTCGTCGCCGTCGGCGTCCTCCGGATTGCCATTCTGGCGAGAATCCCATTGTTCGGATGCAATTCTTGGGAGGTCAAATTTTGGTTTAGCCCTGGTCCGAAATCGCGCTTAATCCAGCTTGATCCCGCTTCATCCCGCTTAATCCGGCTTAATCCCGCTTGATCCGAGGCCGACTCGGGCGTAACAGCCCCCCAATGGGGATTAATCCTCCTTAGTCTTTCCGACGAAAGCCTCCCAGTAGTTGCCTCCTAACCATTGTGAGAAGGAAGTGGGCTGCGTCGTTCTAGCGACCACAAGAATGCACAGAGAAGGCAGGACCATAAAGTTCAGCGAGGTATCCAGCGAGAGCCCCTGTTTTCGGGGGAGCGTAAGACCCGGGTTTGCCAGGACTCGGGTTCGCCATCGTTTTTTGACGACCGCGCCTCGGATTTTGACGAGGAGGAGTTTCGTGGGATGTCTGCAGCGGGAGGCCTCGTCAAAATGCAGGCTCGGCCTCGTCATTTTTTGACGACCTCGTCGGGGATTTCCGAGTCTCCCGTACCCGGGTCTTACGTCTCCCCGATGTTTGAAAAGGAGCCATCCCCATTTGCGTATCTGTTGCATCTTTCTCGTCACTAACGTCGAGGACGTCTCCAGCGAAAACCCCAGTGAAACAAGACACTGCCCTCCATGCAAGCAGCTGCGCGTCCGGTTTTGATATTCGGGGTGGTTTCAGGCGAAGGCCTATGGTGAAAAGGAGCCGCCCTCCATCCCAGTAGCGGTTGCAAAACTCTAAGACGAAGGCTCGTGGCGCTGAGGCAAGAACCCCCAATTGTGAAAAAGGAGCCGTCTCCCATCCGTACCACCTAAGCGAAATTTAAAGACAAATTTGCGTGGCGCTGATGCGAGCGCTCCATCTGAACAAGGAACCACCCTCACGGTTATTAGATTAGCCAGCGTGGACCCCAAACAGTAGGTTATTGCAGTATATGCCGTGCTATCCACGTGGTGCAACCTACGCGATGCAACCTATGTAATTCAATGTACGCGGTGCTATCTACGTGATGCAATCTACGCGGTGTAGCCAATAATATGCAAATATGCGGTGCAAGACTTGTGGTGTTATCGATTTAAACAAGCCAGTTGACACATACCACGCCCTTGCAAACATCCCACCCACCCACCCGCCACTTGGTTTGCAAAACCCATGTGGTGGCGATTGTGATGCATGCTTGGAATTGGCTGGTGGATTTTTGCGGCCGCGCCAAACCAAGCACGCGCGCGCAGCGGCCAGCTAGTTTGGCGTCACCGACGCGGCCGCGGCGGCGCTGACCGCTCGGCACATCCCAGCGGGCCCTTCAGTCCGAGTCGTCGCTTTGGGCTGGCGCGGTATCATGGCAACGCCGACGACGGTAGACACGACGATAATAGTTGCGATGCTAGTGACGATGCTGACTGCGACGACGGGGCAGCCAGTGCCGGCGCCAATACTGATCGCGCCGACGACGGTGACGGCGTTTTTGCGTCGGTGATGAAGGTTTTGGAAGGAGTTCGCCATGCGCGCGCGGCAGACGCGCGAGAGTGGCCCGCATGGTTTTATTCGGCACGGATCGTGCCACCCCAAAACGCGCGCAAGGGTGCTCGAACGATTTCGACACGCGCGCGCGAAACCCGTTCGGTAGCACTTTCTGAACAGATTGAGCAGTTTTTGTTCGCTGACGAGTTCGCCAGAGTGCGCTCGAGGTTTTTGTTTTCAAATCCACGTTGCGAAACCTTGTGTTCATGATATGGTTTGGACGCTCGATATTGAAACCCTTGCGGAACCCATTGTTTCTGAAGGATTTCGGCGTGCGCGCGCGACGACGCGCGCGCGTGCACTTCGTCGAGGGACCTTTGGAAACTTATGTTTTTCTATAAACGAGCGCGCGCGCATCGTTTTTTCCCCAACCATCCTGTGGTGTTGGGTCTTCGTTTTGAAGAGACAGCGCCCCGCGTCCCTCCTTCCTCCCGCTGCCTCCTCCCCCTCCTCCCTCCTCCCTCCCCCATTTCGGCGCACCCCTCACACGTTTCGTGGGCCCGTAGGGAAGTCCGCCGAAGGTCCCAGAGGGTGTGCCCGCATGCGTCCCGCACACCAATTCGGGCACACCCCTCACACGTTTCGTGGCCACACAGAGAGCCCCACCGAAGGTCCCAGGGGGTGTGTCCGCATGCGCCCCGCACGCCCATGTCGGCACACCCCTCACACGCTTCGTGGCCCCATGGGGAGCCCCACCGAAGGTCCCAGTGGGTGTGCCCGCATGCGTCCCGCACACTAATTTCGGCACACCCCTCACAGGCTTCGTGGCCTCATAGGGAGCTCCACCGAAGGTCCCAGTGGGTGTGCCCGCATGCGTCCCGCACACCCATTTCGGCACACCCCTCACACGCTTCGTGGCCCCATGGGGAGCTCCACCGAAGGTCCCAGTGGGTGTGCCCGCATGCGTCCCGCACACCCATTTCGGCACACCTCTCACACGTTTCGTGGCCCCATAGGGAGCTCCACCGAAGGTCCCAGTGGGTGTGCCCGCATTCGATCCGCACACCAATTTCGGCACACCCCTTCACGCGCTTCGTGGCCCCATAGGGAGCTCCACCGAGGGTCCCCGTGGCGCAGTCCGACACCTCCGTCGGATGCCGTCGGAGTTCCGCGCATCGCTCGCCCATCGTCGCTCTGCCCAGCGGCAAGAGCTTTGCCCGCTATCAGCCAGCCAGCTAGCTTTCTTTGCTGCGCACAGCGGACGACCCGCGCGCGTCGCTGGGACCCCTCCGGGGCGACCTGCGCGCGTCGCTGGGACTCCGCGCTGCGCTGCGCCCGCAGCCTTGGACTTTTGAGTGCGCGGGCAAAGAGGGAGTAAAAGAAGGGGAGGAAGCGGGCGCGATCCTCGCGGTGGCGTCGCGGCGCGCGGGCGATGCCGTGGGGCGTCCCGGTGAAGCTCCTCGCGGTGGCCACGCCCAGCGTCACGAGTACTCAGAGGCAGTCATTTTCAAACTAATGAAGTTCATATACAATTGCACCATGCTTTGTCATACTCGCATTCATGCACGTAGACTCGCTCGCACGCAGATTCATTCACAGTCAGACGCACTCGCGCTCAGATTCGCCCGCGCTCAGTCTCCCTACGTACTCAGATCAATCGTTTTCGGTCGCGTTGTGCACCACGCCACTCATTTCGGCACACCCATAGCACGGTTCGTTGCTTCACAGGGATCACCACCGAAAAAGGGAATCACAATTGCGGTACTCACACCTGCATATGGTTGGGCCCCTCGTCGGGCGAATTGTATGCAGAGCATGGCGGGGGGAGGGGTCGACGCAGGCCTGGCCGGAATGGTGCGAGTTTATATTTCGCATGGGCGACGGGGCATAATCCCGCGCAAACTACACGCGAAAATGGGCGTCCATAGTCCCGGGGGGGTCGCGTTCATGAAAGAAGGTTATGTGGTGCAATTGTTTTTTACCCATAAGTTGACACTTCCCATGCTCTTTGCAAACATCCCACCCTCCCACCGGCCGCGCGGTTAACAAAACCCACGCGGCGGCGATTGCGACGCTTGCTTGGCGTTGGCCGGTGCATCTCTGCGGCCGCGCCAACCTGGCACGCGCGCGCAGCGGCCAGCTTGTTTGGCGCCACCGACACGGCTGCGGCGGCGTTGACCGCTGGGCGCATCCCAGTGGACACTGCGCTGCGAGTCGTCGCTAGGGCGCGGTGTCGCGGCGACGCCGACTGCGGTAGACGCGATGATGATAGTGGCGATGCTGGTGACGATGTTCGCGCCGACGAAGGCGCCGCCCGCGCGGGCGCCGATGCTGATCGCGCCGACGACGATGACGGCGCCCTCGCATCGGCGATGAAGGTTTCGGGAAGAGTTCGGCATGCGCGCGCGGCAGACGCGCGAGGGTGGCCCGCATGGTATTAACCTCATGCCCGTGAGAATAAACACTAGGGGATAATAAAGTCCGGGGTTCAGGGAAAATAAAAAAAGTAGCCCAGCAGACCTCAGCATAATCTCGAAGTAAGAGATGATCAAGAGGAGACCAAGCCGAGCACGTTTTGAAGCATCCTTGGCGTTTAGTTTTCATAGAAATATCCTCAACAATGGCTTATCTCTCATGAAAATTGTTTTTTGTAAGTGCTCGTGTAGGGTAGCTCATGTGCCTCAATTTCCATGGATAATCAACCCCAGAGATAAAACAAAATCAGGCGAGCGTGGGGACAGAGAGAAATATAAAAGAAGAAGAATACAGTATAATAGTAATAAGAAAGAAGAAGAAGAGGAGAATAAGAAGAGGACGAAGAAAGGAAAAATCCACAGTTCCAAATCTACCAATTTTAATTTACAAGCGCTTTATGAACATTGATTTTTTAAGTGCTCGTGTAGGGTAGCTCATGTGCTTCATTTTCCATGGATAATCAACCCCAGGGATAAAAAAAGTTCAGGCGAGCGTGAGGACAGATAGAAATATAAAAGAAGAAGAGGAAAGTATAATAATAATAAGAACATTGCTCGTTTCGTTTGAGTCTGCCTCCCAAAATTATTGGTTTCGCTCGACACATCCTGAAAAAGTGTGATCGCTTCGCTTGATGTTGCTATATCAACATCGCTTGATGTTGCTATCTCAACATACCGTTTCGAGGTGATAATGAAGTTCGGCCTCAGCGCTCGCCGCCCAATCTGAATTTTGTATAGGGCGACGATAATCAACTCTAAACACTGAA